GAAGAGGTACTGTAAAAACTGCTTAAAAAACAACAAACGAAAAAAAAAAGATATTTTCGAATGTAAACAGAGTAACATCATTTAAATGATTATTTGTGTTCATTTTACTGGGTTTTTAATGTAACTATTGTTTGGTATTGCCACTTCTCCAGGATTTAACTTACTGTTAAAGAATACATCAAGAAATGTGACATGCTATGTCCTTTATTTAAAAGACAAAAATCCTAAGAATGACTGTTTTGGGTGATCATGAAAAATTAATTTATAGAAATTCATTCACTGGTGTATCTTTATTTCATAAGATGCCTTAAAATACTAGCTGTTATGAATCAGTTGACATACTGAATTAACTGTTACAGACTAAAATTGATTAAATGTTTAGCAAAATTCACTAAAAATAAGATCTGACATATTCGGGGTCTCAGAATATTAAAATAATTATTATTGTAAATTTTATATTTAAGCAAAAATTGAAGAAAACAGACAGTTTTACATTTCATACATATTAATGAATATTAATTGTTATTTATTTTTAGGCCTTTGTGGCAATTGGAGACTACAATGGGCATGTTGGACTTGGTGTCAAGTGTTCAAAAGAAGTAGCAACAGCCATCCGAGGAGCCATCATTTTGGCCAAGCTTTCTGTCATTCCTGTACGTCGAGGATATTGGGGTAACAAAATTGGGAAACCTCATACCGTGCCATGTAAGGTACGTATTGTGATTTAATAATGTTTGTGTGGGAATATGCTTCTTTAAGTTGAGGAACTTGGGCAAATACTAGAGAATACACTTATCTTTGTTCTGGATACTCAATTCAAGCATTCTTGAAATTTATTACCGGGTCTGGGGAATTATGACATCAAAATTTAGATTTTGTTACACTGACAATGAAATTTTAGTTTGGAGTGCATTATGAAAATTGTATTGTTTACTAACAGCCTTAAGTTAATTCTATTGAAAACACTACAATATTCTCAGAAATGTTAACCTAATCACAACTTTAATTCACCGTGTAGTAATTCGTAAATGCTTCTGAAAAGAATACATTAATATCTTTTCCAGATTGAATTTGTCTGCTAAGCACACTTTTCAAAAGCTCGTATCTAAAGTGCATAATATTTGAAATATTCAACAAAATTAACAAATACTATGACATGTCTTGTTTGTGTTTTTATTCAATTTTCTGATAATAATTCTTTGAATAAATAAGCATACATTTTTAGTTGACCAGGTAAATTTACATTGCCATAAATTCTAAAACAAAATTATTAATTTGTTGTGTTAGTGGTGACTGGAGGGTGAAAACTTCCTTTTAATTCTTTCAGCAGGGGCTCAATCCCTGGGACCGATCTTGTAACCATTTTGTGCTTGTTACAGTTTTCATGTTATAACTCATAAATTTGTAAGCATATGTTAAAATTTGGCAGATTATCAGTGAACATTACAATGCTTTCATACGCAAAATATAAAATTTTTTTTATTAAGTCTTAAGGTTTGTTAAGCAATGTTTTTCACACATTGCCTATCTAACATGCAAAGTAATTTTCATTTTAAGATTACAAATACTTTTGTGCATCAGAAAATTTTCAAATTTCACGTGCAAAATCTTTATAATGTCCAGATAGTTATTAAACATTTCTTAAGAAAAAAACTTCATATTTTATCTGTTATTTTCAGTAATGAACATCTGTGCGGGTTTGGTCGATTTGACCAATCTCATAACCACAATAAAAAAAAAAGGAAATAAATATAAATTATGCCTTTTTTGTTCTAGAATGACAACAAATTATAACACGAAAACATAAATGTTTAGATTAAATAGCTTAAATCTCTTAATATTATACATTTATTATATTGAACTTTCAGCCGTGCCTGGCTAACAATACAGAAGTTGCAATGGTCCAGCACACATGCACTCA